TGCTACTTCTACTCTTTTTTTTCTGTTCTGTGGTTTTACACATCTTGAAACTAACAATAACTCGACGTATATCCGACGTGTAATTAAAAGCTTGCGTTGGTTCACTTTGATGACGGGTGACATCACCACGAGTGTCACTATTACACAGCAATAACGCTAGGCTATCAAGTTATCCAACTTGTAGATAATTGGTTGATAATTGGAAACGGCCCTTTCTTGGATGAAATAAGCGATAACATATGTTTAACTTTTAATGTTTGAAAAGGATTCAAAATAGTTGACATAAAAGAGCAGTTGCTAGATGTATATAGGTGTATCATTTTTAGAATTCCCTACCACAAAGAAAATGTGGAACCTAAAAAGATCAATTGTGTAAATTCGGAGTAAACACTCCGAATCCACTGGATCGAATGGGAAGAAATTTGGTACATGAATATATGTCGGTGACTCAAAGATTAATTCTGAACTAATTATTTAAAATAATCATGGTAATTTTTTTCTGAACGAATACATTCTATATTATTGTTTGGCACCAAATCAAAGGAATTGCTGTGAGAATTTCTTCAATGATTGAGAGCTGATTTCTTGAATGATTTTAAATTTAAAATGGTTTTCTACCCGTATATTATAGAAAACTCACAAAATGTCTTATAATCTTTAAAATTTAATGTTTGTACGAAACAGATTCCAACTGACCAGTATTTTTGTTATCATTACACAGTTAATTAGAACATTAACTTATAGCGATCTTATACAGATCTTTAGATAACGCTTCAGATTAAATAAGGTAAATAGGGATGATCTAAGTAAGAAAAAAAAATCTATTTAGTGCGTCAGTCATATAATAGAACAATATTAGATACTTCGTATTATTTTTGCTTTAAGTTAAGGAGTGGGGGCTCGCTACATCACAACTGTGTAGAAAAAGTACAAAGATGATGAAGAAGTAAGAAGATGCGATATTTCAATTCAATCTATAGCCGTCAGTTAATAATTATGCAAAAAAATAGTTTCATCGTTAGCCCTTACACGGACGTATACAGAGTGGGGACCCACTGCAGGGGTTCAGGCCATTATGAATGTTTAAGGAGGATGGGCCATGACCCTCCACGCTGGCCCAATGCGGATTGGAGGGTATTAACGACTATGCTGTCGTCAATACTATCTAATCCGCATTGGGCCTCCGAGGCTACTCCGTGGCCGCATATGCATGCGGCCATGGAGTAGCTCGAGATAATATTTTTTGATCACCCATCCCGTGACTGATCCTTGCGGAAATCGCATAACAACAACGTTTGCGGGCCGCGGCGCTTATTCACTTCACCGCCGAGCCACTCAGTTTAACAATCTTTCTGATGGATAGATAAAAAAAAACATTCATCATCTCTATTGTAAACATAATATCCTCACACTTTCTTTATCCTTATAAACATCATATATGAAATTAGAAAACGAATATCTATATATCTGTAAGTATGTAACATTATTTCATAAGTATTGTGTATTTATAAATATTTACCCTGAAAATATTTAAACTTGAAGAGCCCATTAATATGAGATTTCACGAATGTTTGTTTATTTCGTTTTGCATCATTCTGAAACCATTGAATATATTTGTTTATTAAACTAATATGTAGTCATCGTACACTATCGTAAGTATATCAAATAATAATAAAGAAATACTGGATAACATCACGGAGGTACTTATTTTGTTCAGATCTCAAATTAAGTAGATAAATCACTTATTATCTGTAACAAAGTATGTAACAAAACATTCAGATTAGAGACATTGGAAAGCTAATTTTTTACATTGACCTGACCAGCAATCAAACTCCGAACTTCAAAAATACTTCAAAGGCGAAAACTTTGAAACAGGCGTGCGAGCCACTAGGCCTCAGAGTTCATATTGATGAAAATCAAATATTTTTTTTTTAGTTTCAATTTCTTTGGAATCCATAAATAATAGAGTTTTAAATAAATTCGAAATGATTATGTTAAGTGTCTTTATTTTTATAACTCAAAGTATTTTAGATTTATAGCATAACAGCGTACAATAGACATTGAAACAAATAAATTAATGCTAAAAATAAAACAAAAAAGAAACAGATTACTCATTCAACCGATTAATTAAATTGTAAATTAAATTTTCTTGAAGAATTGGTGAAATTTATAAGAGGCCCCGTGGAACAAACTTGGAAAGTGCTTCCCTTCGACTTAACGCTCTTTGACCCTCGCTCGAGATTACTTTACAGCGATCTTTTATTAAAATAATGGATTCACTGGATTGTACAAGAAAATAAATAAACCTTAGCTCTTAGTTTTGATTACGACCATTTCACAGATTCTCTAGACCATTAAAGCTTGTATACATGTCAAGTTAGTTTTGACTATTAAATTTACTAAATGGGTATACCGTCTGATCTCATTGCCTATTCAAATTACATCAAAATTGTTTCAATGCAACGACTACGCGAAATATGGCACAAACCGCGATTCAAGATGTTATTAATCAAAGGTTATTGATAAATTCGTTTCTGTATTTAAGCCAAGCCAAGGCTCATAACGTGAAACCAGTTTTAAAAGTTACAACTGTCCAAAACAAGATTTATGCCCAAGAATCAAGAACATTGTAAATACACCGATGAAGAAATGGTTGTGAAAATCCAGTAAATAATTGGAACACGTGTGAGTATTTTACATTTTTTGACATTATTACACAAGTTATTCTTAATACAAAATGCTTAAATAATCCACTTGGTCCCTGGCACCCTGAGATGGGAATCGAACCCACGACCTTTCGCAATCCGGGCGACTGCTCTAACAACTGAGCTACCCAGGACCTAACAGGACTGAAAAAATATTAAAAACGTAAATAAAAAAATATTAAACACGTATTTTTTTATTTTTTTCGTAATCATAAAATTACGGCGTTACATAGAGTTAAAATTTCACATGACGTCACGTTATGGTACGTTTTCAACTCAACTATGACGTAACGAGCCCCCACTCCTTAACTTTAATGCCTGTTATCTAAGCTATTTCTTGTTAAATTGAAATAAAAAAAATACGTATCTTTCTATTATCTGACTGACGGACTAAATAGAATTGCATTATTTTTACCCTGTCGTCATCCCTATACTAGTGATGTTCCGGATATCCTTATCCGTATCCGCAGATATCCGACGGAAAATAAAGATCCGTATCCGTATCAGTTAATTTTCTCGCGGATCTTTTAACTTATTAGTTTTCCGTTGAAAGGATGAAATGCTATATATAGGTGATTAGGTAGATTTCAAAACTATTGAATTCAATTCAAGTATTTTTTATTTCATAAAATCAAATATTTGCCACCTTTATATTGCAAACATTTATTGTAGTAAGTTACTATACCAATACATAACGCAAAGGTACTTATCAACTATCTTTATAATAAGATCAATATTATAGAAAGTTATAACATCACTTCTATAAATATAAGAAAATGAAAAAACTTAAATCTTTTTTTATTATTATAATGAGATCAATATAATAGAAAGAAAACCAAAATAAATTCTAATTGAATGATTATTCTTTTATAAAATGTAAACATTAGATTACACTAGCAAACACAGTGAAAATAAGAGGAACTTGAAAAAAATATTAATTATAAAGATCCATATCCGTATCCATAGCTGCGGATCTTACACCGAATATCCGAATTCGGATCCGTATCCGCGGATATACATTTTTAACTATCCGGCGTATCACTAGCTAATACCCACCAATCCGTATTGGGCGTTTGTGGTGAGACATGGGTCAACTTCCTGATCCAGTTCGATTCTATCCAAAGGAAAGGCCTATGCCCCGACAATGGTAATATTAATAGGCTGATGATGATAATTACACTGTAACGGGTTAGGGCTAGCTTCAATGTGGATATTTTAGTAAAAAGGTATATTTATAACAACAAATTGTAACAGTTCGCTATGGATTCCAAAAACAATGATAATATCTATAAATAAATAAAATACTTAATTACATAATATCTCGTTTCTACTTTATACATAATATAATTCATTTATAACCAACTTTTAAAAAAAGCAGAGGTTCTCAATTAGATTGTATTTTTTTTTTGTGGACCGATTTTGATGATTCTTTCTTTATTTGAAAGCTAGTGCTGCCGTGTGGTCTCATTTTAATTTGGTCCAAATCTGGCAATGGATTCCATGAGAAAAACATATAAGTCTTAAATTTGCATTAAGTATGCGTGATGTTTACCCCAAACCTCAAAATATCACTAAAATGTATGAAATAAAAAAATATAAAAATTTAAGAAAGTGAAAAATAATACTTAAAAGCTGTTAAATGTTTTAAGAAACATTGAAGTCGGGCGGTTAATATTTAATTAACTACACTGTTACACTGGCAAATGTTAATATTTGATTAACTACAGAAACATTTAATCGCTTTAAGGATAAGTATTATTTTTGACTTTTTTTAAATTTGAAGTCGGTTCCATTTTCTTTACTTCACACTGTCTATTACATAACAATAATTTCATGAATTTTTACGAACTGATATTGAAAATGAATATGACGTGTTTCTCGAAATTCTCAATTTGCGAAAAGTGAATAATAAAAACAAAACGATCCTAAAAGCTAGAGACAAAAAGTTTGGAACCTAGGACAAAATCAACGGTGTGGTACGACGCATCGTTACAACACTTTTAGTTAGATTATACTTTTAAAGTTTTACATAAGACTATTAGAAATATTTTTTTGTAAATTCAAAATATTATAAACTTAGGTAGACTGACTTTATGACAATGTTATTAAAGTCAGCAATGTCTAAGTAAATCCAGCCATTGTATGACAACATCTTCGCAATAAGCAAGCTGTTACACTGGCAAATATTAATTCGCGATCAACAAGCATTAGACATTAAAAATTATACGCCGCGTTGAAGATACTGTAATGCAAATGCTCAGCCGATTGTAAAAACTTACAAAACACTGAAGCCACAAAACATTCGGAAGCCTGACATATACCTCCATGGAATTAGTGAGATTCGTCATGCCCAAATATTAAATATAAGAGACTCACTATTTGAAGTTGTAGTTATTGTGCAGTGGACACACAAAGATTCCAGTGGACCAGTAGAAAAATGAATTCGAGCCTTCTTGCATATTTAGTGGCACTTGGCAACCTCCAGGTATGCGCTATTAATAAAATTATGGTATCTACTTAAATTTAAAAAAAAATATATGTTCTTCAATCATATTTGCAGGAATCGCCGGCCAAGTTAGATTTTTTTTTTATTTTCAACAAACCAAACAATGTTTTAATTAGCAAGGTGCTTTATTGTGTTTTTAAAAGTTTAAAGGATAACGGCTGCATTCGTTTATTATGAATAACAAACTCGCAACATTAGCTACCGAGTAGGTAACATTGATGAGAATAGATTGTTTTAATAATATTGATAATTTCTCATTAAGTTTCTAATCAAATAAGGCTAGTATAAGTCTGATTTTTGTTCTTTCACGAAAAAACTTCTGGAAGGATTTTAATGAAATTAATTATACCGATGTTTTGGAGTGTGGATTAACATATACGCTACCTTTTATTTCACTAAACAGTTCCTTAGGGACGTGGGTGAAGCTGCTGACGAAAGCTAATTTTATATTTTGGAAACAAACTGTATTATAAAAGAAATAACCCACATTAAATATTGCTTTTACTGTTATAAAATGTAGCAGAATATAACGATAGAAAGAGATTTGATACTAATCGTAGTAATATTACAGTAAGATTTTTCGTTTGATATCGTTGATAGAAAATATACCTCTATTTGATGTAAAATCAAATACGACTGTTTGATTTTATCATTTGTATTTCGGTATAGGTACTATTTATATTTGCCCCGTGTGATGTTTTTTACACATTAAACGGCCTTTACATAAAAAAATCCATAAGCATTAACACCATGTCTATTTATATTTACAAAGCTTTTGACAATTCCCAGTATAGAATTTAATTTTGAATTTTTTTACGCGCAATAGTTATTGACTGTATGTAGCAAATACTGTGTCAATGAGATAAAATTATAAGATGTAAAATTGTATCATTGGATTAATCTATTCATTTAGATGAAGTCGATGCCCGAATTGAATATTGCGGCAGAATATTTTTAACGTACAATTTCTAATAATATTTTTGTTAAACAACCGTGCGAAACCGGTGCGGGCCGCTAGTTATTACTATTTTTGTCTTAGTTTTTAAAATGTATTATCTTCTAAGAATCTTTTATAGGAATTCAAATAATATATAAAAAATAAATTAAACAAACAATACCACTTATTCTCGATTTTTTTACTGAGCAAAGCATTTATAATTAGTTATCATTTACTTACGTAGAGTTTATGAAATATTCCTTGTAACTTCATTATATATATTTGACAAGGAATGACTATCCCCCGACATCTAAACAAATCTTTTGGAATACATTTGCTCCCTAGGGAAATATCGCATTAATGAGTTCACTGACATGTCACTACGACAACGAATGAAATATATTTTGTGTCATCATAAACAAATATTTATTTAATCTTACAGAGTCTGCAAACTTCTGAAGGTCCTATAAAGAATTTGGCTGTAAAGTTTGGAGATTTGCATAGCCTAAAGAGTGACTTACGATCGATGCCGGAATTCAATGTGGACAAATTCAGAGATTCCGGTTATTACAGAGTCGGTGATATTGGCAAATATTTATCTAGGAATCTACGGGACTACATATACCAGGGTAGAGGACAGCCAAGCGACGAAGGCGTTATTTTAACTATTTACTATGGTGAACCTTACATTACTAAACAGGATGATAGCAGTTTGTCACTTTTATTTCATAAGGAGTCTATTGGTGATGATGCGAAGACACGGCTGGAGAATTACTTTGATCACAAACATCCGAATAGACAACGCCGATCTCTTGTGGATATATTGAAAGTGTAAACGCTTTGAATTCTATCAGAATTTGTTCATTCATATAAAAGTATTTTCATAGATAGTAGTTTTGAGTAGTTGGTAGAGATCATATTAAATATTATTAGATTCACTAAAAAATAAACTTCATTTCAAAATAACTTTAGGAGTTTTATTTCAAATAGTTTTTAAATAGGTTTACAATGAAAAAAAAAACTATGTCTGAAAAATTATCAAATCATACCTGGACGTTCGTTTTTGGGGTTCCCTGCCTCAAACGGAACCATCAATTAATTTTAAAAATAATTTCGTTGTACAGCTGTCTGTCTGTTAGGTCACTTAATTTCAGCTATCAAACGTCATCTATTTCAAAATGAAACCATATATTTTGGTCAATAGTTTCTTGAAGCTGTGAAAAAATAAAACTTCTGAATTAGAGAAAAATATACAGTCATCTATGCCGCAAAAGATGCATATTTCGGAACTCTTTAGGGAATCATAATAATTTATAGACACTTATCCTTGTCATATAACTATGAAATTTAGTAAGTAACGTCGTTTTATACCTAAAAGTTCTAGGAAAAATCTGAAAACTTTTCATTAAATCATAAAAAATATAGTTTAAAATTAAAACTGAAGCTACTAGTTCAAGAAGGGGAAAAGTTTGAAGTGTATATAAATTTTTATAAGTGTAATAAAGTAAGCATCCATATTTAATGCTAGGAGAGTAAAAAATTGTACATATATCTATACTAATATTATAAAGCTGAAGAGTTCGTTTGTTTGAACGCGTTAATCTCAAGAACTACTGGTTCGAAATGGAAAATTCTTTTTGTGTTGAATAGACCATTTATCGAGGAAGGCTTTAGGCTATATAACATCACGCTGCAAGTATTAGGAGCGAAGAAATAATGGAAAACGCGGACGAAATCGCTGGCGGCACTTATTTAGTATTTTTAATGAAAAATGCTTAAAAAATCAAACTTGCCCTGGAATTCAAATATAATAATTATATCATTTGTAATCACATTATATGTTATGTTATCATATCTTGGTTATTTATTTTAGAATGATAGTTTTTAGGAGCTTTAAAAATACGGAAACTTTACAATTATGTTTTTTACGGGATTGCTACCATGTACTCTGTTTTTATTGAAAAACAAGGTACGTAAAACTACCATTCTAATTATAACAAAAAATATTCGCTTTAAACGGTGTAATATTCAATTCAGCTTTAAATTAAAATTAATTGTCTCAAGTTCCGTCAGCAGATCTTTTGTTCGGAGCACAATAGCATAAACGAATAGTGACTCGTTTTCGCCCATGCTTTGTGATTGGCATAGATTTCCGTTCATCCAAGACAACGAACACTCCTTTTTTTATTATGAAAATAACTGTAAGACAAAATTGTATTTTTGATACAGAGGAAGAATTAAAAAAGTACTATTATTTACTATAATTATGAACCGTGCTGTTCCTGCCGTCTTCTAGGACTATAGGGAGGTGTGTGGGATTCTTCTTCATAAACGGACCTTTTTAACGTAGGGGAAATGCAACTTTAAGCCTTTAACCACGCAGGCCGGCTTCGCTTTCGTCCTGAAAAGAACAGGCTTAAGTGAGGCCGGCCTGCATGGTAAAACCCGCTGCGAATACCCTCTGGGATCCAGCAAGTACGCCGCCGGGTCTTCGTTAAGGGACCCACTGGTGTGAGGTGTCATAAGGAGGATCATAGCTTCTACAAATCCACCGCAAGCCCTTGGTTGGGAGTAGTACCAAGTATCTCGAGCTGTTTTCCGAGCCAACTATCCACAGTGGAGAAAAGATAGTTTGTACTTCGTTCGTAGATGGGGACATGTTAAGTGTCTCCTCAAGTACAAGTAAGGACAAGTACAGGCACTAATGGGTAAAATTAGTATACCTAAGTACACTAGCTAGGTCATTTCATATGTATTTTCGATACATATTGCTAATACTTATTTATATCCTATTTAACTTAAAAAACCTTAAAAACAAAGCTTATGATATGTTTTTAATTAGTTCATGGAATTTATAATGATTCAAATACAATCGTTCTAACCACAATGAAATGGCTATTTCAATCAGACATCTTTTTACACAATAAAAACCTGGGAAATACGAACTCCGAAACAAAAAAAAGACATTATCTATTTGTAAAAATAAATAGTTATATTTATAAAAATACTTTCTATCTATACCAAAATTCTAAAAAGGAAAGATTTTGAATAGGGCTCCAATAATACTGGACCGACTTTAAGAAAAACATTTTGGAAGCTAATCTTACATGGGTAACAGGCAATAATTTACGCGTGCAAAGTTAATATTAAGTTATACGTAGCCAATTTTTTTCAATTGAGTGCCAATAGCATAACGCAGCAATCAGTAATAATCTATTCATCAGGCAACATCATTATTAATTCCTATCGACGCTCGTCAGTAAGTAATATTATACATATAACGATTGATCTCTTGACATATCTAATATATCTACGATATATTTTTTTAATACCTTGCTTATTCTCTTTATAAAAAGCTATTCTTATTTTCTGTATAAATTCAATGCCTTTGTTTACAACAATCCATTGTCAATTTTAAATGATGACCTCAAACATGTGTTTCTTCCGCTGTCATTAATTTTTATTAGTCCTTTAAACCAGTCCTCTGAGAGGTATCATTTGTTAGTATTAAAATCCATCAAACGACTCATATAATGCAATGAGAAAGCATTCCATGCGAGGGCCGGGCGTGAGCGGCAATGTCATAAAGAAAACAATAAAATGTCTTATTGCAGTCAGTATTCTGAGGAAGTTAATGGAGTTTTGATGCTTCAATGGTGTGACGTGACAATATTATTCACTGACAGATTTAATAAAACATAGCTAGATTTCTAATAGCAGCGCTTTATGACGTAATTTAAAATGTTTGACTCAGGCCAAACACTTAGATTACATATTGTCATAATCTAAGGCCTATGATAACGATATGAAAATTTGAATTTACTGCATAATAGACAATCGACACTTTTTCATCTACAATTCTATAATAATGGTAAGATTAGCTAATTAATATAATGTCAAATTGTAGACATTTGAAGTGAGATAAATTTTTGCCTTTAAAGATGTATTTTATTTTGTAACACAAAAAAATATCTTAACGTTGTATGACTAGCATTGCTTTTTGATTTGTGTACTATCAACAACAATCAAAATTTTTTAGAATATTTTAATATTTTTTTTTTGGTACAAAATTGTCTTTAACAAGCGATTTCAGGGTAATTCTGACTCTACAAATTATTTTTATGCACGCTATACATTGATGTCATTTGATTCGCTATTAATTACATAGATTAATTACATTTACATGAACGGGTATTATTCAATAGTCTTAATGTAACTCAGTTGCTATACTAGAATTACATATTACGAAAGCCAATAAATAAGAAGTTTTCGATTAGATGTCTTTTCATATCTTTCGTCATTAATATAAAGCTAAAACGAAACGATTCAAACACGTGTATGGTTTAATATTTCAAAAGAAGGCGCTTAGCATAAGTCACCCATATGAATGTGTAACGTGTTAGTCGATTATAAAACAAAAACAGGAGCTCGCCCTTTGTTTACTAATGACGCATGCGCGGCGTACGGTTCGCATGCAATCTACGCGGAGTCGTTTACCTTCCGAGCGTCGGGACGGCCATGTGCGTAGATGCGTGAGCGCAGCGCGACGACCATCCGCCAGAGCGCCAGAGCCCGCGGCGGCGCGCGGACGATGCCGCGTTGCCTTTACGCGGCCCTCCTCCTTGCAGCCGCTGCCTCTGCCGCAGCTTGGACTCCCTCAACGCAATCCCTTCATCTCAATCCAAAAACACATACAGCAAATACAACAAAACACCTCCAACTCCTTGGCTGGCATTTAGAACTTCAGGAGAACAGAGCCATACGTTCCCCTTATTATAACGAATGCCAATTTTATAGAGGACGTATACTTTATGAAGAGGAATCGTCAGCTACGGTAACCGAGTGCGACGGACAACTTTACGGTCTACTACAAATAGGAAAGGAAGAGTTCGTCTTGCAACCGAACCAACCTGGTTCCAATCACGTGTTACGGAGAAGAGACGTGATGTGGTCAGATCGCCCTGTCGAGTACAATCTCACAGGCGATACGGTCACCGACCTTGAACTTGACTTCGAGGAAGATGACGTTTCGACACCGCATGTGCGCCTGAGACACAGCGATAACTCGGATATCGAGTATTTTCGTGAAGTGCGTCCTGTTACTAGATCTGTATCAGGTGTGTGACAAACTCATTGGATATTTCATAGTTTGACACATTGAAGAAGTATGTATAACGAGTTAATGTTTCAGGTGTGAATGGACTTTGGCTGGAGATGGCCATTGTGGCTGATCATACTATGCTGAAATTCCATGGGCGCGAGCGAGTGAAGCATTACATTTTAGCTTTAATGAACATAGTAAGTACTGAATATGCACACACAGTATGCTCAACGTTTATTTTTAGTATGAAACACTTCAAGTGTCTGGATTTCATCTCCACAATTTTATGTAACATTTTGTAGGTCAGTGCTATCTTTAACGACCCGTCGTTGGATGCTAATATAACACTCGTTATCAACAAATTGTTTTTGTATGAAGAGAAGGATCCTATAATAAAGTTTGGAAATGTAAAGAAATCTTTGGAAGCTGTAAATAAATGGAATTATAGACATCTTATGAAGATACCATTAGGTATGTATGAGTTTATGAGAAACTTTTGAATTTGTACGTGTAATATGCGCAGTGTCACGATCTGTATAGTTCACTAATGATTTTTGAGTACTTGTTATCACTGTTATCTCCGCATGGATGCAACAATATCCGACACCAGCCATATCTCTACAATGCTGTGTGGTGCAATATTGCAGCTCCATTTAAGTGTCCTAATATATAATATATTTTCTGTTATGGCTAACAATGGGTTGTCTTTATTGTAATAAATTATGTTAGTTGCCTTGCTATAGAATAACTAAATGCTTTGGTTCTTTTTTTAGATAAATGTAAGGTACATAGTGGTATTATAAATAATCATTGTAATTATATCAAATATGTTTTCACAAAAGTCTATTTTCAGTACTGCAATGATTTTGAATGCGATCATTCTAATAATCAAAATTATTTGTGTATACTCTCGTAAATTATAAAATATTAGGTAAATTTCTGTTTCAAATCTTTGAACGTCAAATAGGATGGAAAAAAAAACAGTTAAGATTATAAAAACTTTTTATAAAAAGTAGAACCGACTTCAAATTTAATAAAGTGATAAATAATACTTATATGAAAAGCGACTTATTCAAGAAAATGCTATTTTTACTCGTATTTATCAATTTTTTAACTTTGAAGTCGGTTCTTCCTTTTATAAAAGTTTTTATTTCATGCTTTTAGTGACATTGATATTTTTTTATATTATAGGTAAACAACAAAAATATAAATATATATGTAAATAAAAATATTTATCATAGTGAAAGTCTTAGAATGTAGGACATTTTGTTTATTTACTTGACATATTTTATTCCTATAATCTGTATTCATATTTTAAAGAGGAAAGATTCGATTGCTTGTTTGTTTGCATTGGCACCGAAATTATTTGACCAATTTTTAAAAGTCTTTCATCTACGGGAAGCTGCATTATATGCGGCGACATAGGCTATAATTTACGCAGACAAAGTCGCGAGGAAACAGCTAGTTTAATAGAAATTGGTACACATTGTTGATCGAAGTTCATCATAATTCAAGAAGAAATCAATGAACTTACATACTCCAATATAATATTTTGCTCATTGATACCTACTATCTATAAATCATAAAAAATAAACATCAAAGACTAAAGTATACATAGCCGTTGAACATAGAAAATCTTTCTTTCAGGTTTTGAATGAATTTTAAATACGCATTCTTTTGTTTTTTAACTGAAATGGGTCATGTTATAACATATCGTCTTAAAATTTAAGTGATATCTGTTGGAAAGCGTATTTTGTTTTGTTATAAAAGGAAAACTATTTATACGATTTTGATACGACCTCGACCTCGATCCATCAAGCCATCAATAAAAAAAAAGAATTTTAAAAATCGGCCAATAATTGATGAAAATATCGCTAAACATACAAAAAAATATACACATCGCTGTAGTACATATAACCTCCTCTTTTTCGATCTTGAAGTCGGTTAAAAATTAAATTTAGCCCAGTTTTACCACCAGGATTGCAAACGTCAATACAATATTATAAATGTGAAAGTAACTCAGTCTGTCTCAGTGTATGTCTGTTACATTATCATGCCTAAACTACTGCACCAATTTTAATGAAATATGTTACACAGATTGAATGTACCTTGGGAAAGGACACAGGATAATTTTTATTTCTGAAAAAAGGGCTTATGGGGATTAATCAATCCACGTGGGTGACGCGAACGGAAAGCTACTTAATAAATAAATATTAGATAGCATCACATTCATTACTCAATTAGCAAATTAAGTAGATAAAGAACTTATGTTATAGAAATCTGAAACAATGAAACTATCACATTACCCAGACGCAAAATAATAAAGATAAGTCCATTTTTTATATTGATTCGACCGGAAGTAAAATAAAAAAGAGCTCAGAGATGACGATACCTTGAAACCGACAGACAAACCACTTGGCCATTATCCATTTCATTATTATTAGATGTATTAATTTTCACACCTCATTTAAAATTTATGAGTGGTTATAGACGTTATAAATTTTAACACTACAATGAGTTCTAACAGACACAGATAGGGGTTGGAGGGATATTCTTTGTATATTTATTCAGTGTTAACTGCGATGCTTTGAAGATATGTTTAGTATCTCGTACTTGTATAAAGCATAATTCGGTGAATATATTTTAAAGAATACTTTATCATAACCGCAATCGGTACATACCCATCTTTCGTTATTTCCACAAGTTTCTATTACCTAGACTTTGAACTTAGAAAGCTTCAATATAAATTTGCGATCGGAATTGTCATTGAGCCGATATTGTTATATATATTATTACTTTTTTAGCTTATTACTTAATTCAACTTATTCTCAAAAGAAAGCACTGGATGGGACGCAACAATATGGCTCACGAGGGCGCAGCTCGGCGGTCCCTCGGGCTTCGCCCCCGTTGGCGGGGTCTGTTCTAAAACCCGGTCAGCTGCCATCGACAGGGACGAGGGGCTCACCAGCGCATTCGTCATCGCACACGAATTGGCCCATCTGTGAGTTTTTTGTTTTTTGAATGCCGTCAACAAATGGCACTAGTGTTCCAATGTGATGACTTTTATGAATGGATATATTGATATCCATTCATAAAAGTCATCACATTGGAACACTAGTGCCATTTGTTGACGGCATTCTGAAAAAAGGGCTTATGGGGATTAATCAATCCACGTGGGTGACGCGAACGGAAAGCTACTTAATAAATAAATATTAGATAGCATCACATTCATTACTCAATTAGCAAATTAAGTAGATAAAGAACTTATGTTATAGAAATCTGAAACAATGAAACTATCACATTACCCAGACGCAAAATAATAAAGATAAGTCCATTTTTTATATTGATTCGACCGGAAGTAAAATAAAAAAGAGCTCAGAGATGACGATACCTTGAAACCGACAGACAAACCACTTGGCCATTATCCATTTCATTATTATTAGATGTATTAATTTTCACACCTCATTTAAAATTTATGAGTGGTTATAGACGTTATAAATTTTAACACTACAATGAGTTCTAACAGACACAGATAGGGGTTGGAGGGATATTCTTTGTATATTTATTCAGTGTTAACTGCGATGCTTTGAAGATATGTTTAGTATCTCGTACTTGTATAAAGCATAATTCGGTGAATATATTTTAAAGAATACTTTATCATAACCGCAATCGGTACATACCCATCTTTCATAGATACGTAATATACACGAAATATATCATTATACATTGGTATAATGATATATTTCGTGTATATTACGGTGTAATATGATATTAACATTTCAAGGCTAGTAAAAATATGTGATAACTACGACAAAAATAATAACATTATGTTGTAAGGGAGAAACATGTTTGTTTGAAAGAATATGGATATTTTCTTCGGCAAAAAATGGAAGTGTCTGTCCGAATTGTTTTGTACGGAATAATACCTAAATAAAAAGACTATTAAATAACTTAAATTAAATAGTTATGTAATGCTAGGAATTAAAGTGCGATTAATTGTTCGAATTGTTTTACATAAAAAAGAAAAAAAACCCTGATTATTGAGCAAGCGTGGACATTTAATAAACGTTCTAAACATCTTAAAGGATCCGAAACAAATTCATCCCTTAAAACTGTCACTGGCAACATTAACTTTTACAAAGGAGACAAATGAGCGTAACATCAAGAGAACTTTTCATTCTCTCATTAGCACCCAATTTTGTTTAACCAAATACAATTTTCGCGGCCAAACTTCCCGCTGCATTATTTATGGCTCCAACTTTCTTGTTGTTAACACTAAATTATAAACTCCACGTGTTTAAAACAAAAACGACCTCGTGCTGGATTCCTGGCTGAATTCTACGGAAGCAATACACTGTTAAACATCCTTTTATGACGTTACATTATTCTAATTTAGTTGAGGTTCTTGTTGTTGTTCAATTACTGCGAGATGGGTCTTTGGCTTGCGACGCCTATGAAAGGATAATGTAAATAAAAATATATATTCACATTTATACGAATAAAAAGGTGTTGTTGTTTCTTAAATAAACGATAATATGTAAATTAGAGCTGGTGATAAGCCCAACAAATAATAATTTATTGTAGGTAACTGAATATTTTAATAGATTATTAGATGAAATATTCTAATCTAAATGATGTTTACTGTTTGTTAATCACGTACGTTATTCATTTACATCTGTAAATAGAATTGAAACATGTGGCTAATTCACAAGACTGAGACTCCGAGAAGCGAATTACAATGAGCCTTTTTTTCTTGTAAATTAGTACTTAGCAAGCTCTCGGCATCTCCTGCCGTAAGTCTGAATACGTGTTTTTTCGTTTGTTTTATAATGAAGAACGAGGGTAAGATGAATCAAGCTATTATGAGATTTTATTCACACCAGATGTCATGTGGCCGTATATGTAAACGTGTGGTTGAATTAAACAATGGTGAAAATGACGTCATAACAAATAGTCAAGAGCTCGGTCGATGATACTACTATAATTTGCTGCTATTTATAATTTCATGACTTTAAGTAGGTACTTAACTTAGTTGTCTTTACATTTAATAAATTGTAAAATAAAATTATTTAAAGACATTTAAAAAAACTCTGGTAAACAGCAGTGCTATACTTTTGAAATGTGATACAAAAACTTTATTAGCCTTATGTTTTATACAAAACCTCTTACCGCCAATGAACGTCACTTAATCGTTATTAATATAAGTAATTTAGTTATATCATAAACTTGCTGTGCCTGTGACTTCATCCGTATGGAATAGTGACTTTCGTCAGCATCTTATATATTTTAGGGTTCCGCACCCAAAGGGTATAACGAGACTAACACTTCGTTGTCTGTCTGTCTGTCACCAGGATGTATCTCATGACCCGTGAAAGTTTGACAGCATTTTTTCTCACAGATGATGTATTTCTGTTGCTGCTTCAATAACAATAGAATAAAATAAATATTTAAGGGGTTTTTGTTCTGGTTCAGTACGGAACCCTTCATGCACGAGTTGACTCACACTTGGCTCTTAATTTCGGCTAATTATTTGCAAATAAAACACAAACGAATACATCATTAAAAAAGCTATTTACAGTATTTCACGTTATTTAAGCATAAAAAAATAATGTTCAATTATTTTAGTGGACCCAAATAATCAAAACCTCTGTACTTTTTACAATTATTTGAATAGTGAACGTAAACAAAGAAAAATATTAAATTTGTTTGGAAAGCGAAAAAAAAACGTACAGTTCTTTTTAAACATAACGCAAGGTTATGAAAACATAGGTACTCTAACCTAAACTACTAAATTAAAGGAAACAATATAAGTATCTTATATTCTACCACTAAACAGCATGCAATAACTAAAACTATTTGTGGGTACTTAGTTATTAACTATTATATGTCATGCAATTAAAGTGTTCCAAATAATTATTTTATTTAAAAACTTATTGACTGAATAAAAACATTAATTAACTAACTATTTTTTCAAACGGGATTTATATAATTTTTGCAATTACAGTTCATCCGGTATGTTATTATTAAACATCTTTATTGACATCACACATGAGTTTCTCTTATAATTGTGGGTCCTAATAAATGGCAAATGTAATTTATTAGGAAATCTTATGTTAAAATTACTAATATATTTTTTATTACACACAGTTCTAAGTCAAACACACCAGTTTTAAAAACACAGTGGCATTATATAACGAAAACAGCGAATTGTAGTATTTTCCAGATTAACATTTCCCCATTAAATGATGTTATTGGAAAACCGCAAAATTGAAAACAAAAGCTACCATGATTGATAAAAATCAGAAAAAAATAAAGACTACAAACATAAAAAAACTTAAAATCCCGTTTTAAAAGTAGAGTAGCGTCATCTATTAGGTATTCAGTAGAGGCAGCTAAATGTAACATTTTCGTATACTTAACCAATATAACTTATGCATTTAATAGTAGCGATAAAGATTGTATCGATTAAAATTAATCAAAATAATATATAATCCTTAAATCATTTAATAGTGGATTTGATATTCTTAATGAAAAATGCTTAAAAAACAATAATCTTTTAAAAATAAATAAATCACATAATAAGTATGATAATACAATAAAATACTTATAATGTGTACACAATAAACTTGATCTTTCATGGACGTAACAAGGAGTTTTGGTATCGTAAAACCGTAAATCGCTTTATCTTTCCACATTTATAAATGCCTGTAAAAAGCTCACTGGCTTATATACTAAAGCAGTACTACAAGTAAGCCTTACTTCTTTGAATTCTTTGAAATCCCACTGCATACTCGTACCGAACAAAGCTGATCTTGTAATACCAATTACCATAAGTAAATATACTTAATTAAGTTATGAGTAACCATGAATTGGTAATACTACTATTGAAATTCAAAACTTCAGCGTTATAAAGAGGAAAGATCAGCGTTACATAAATAGGATTATCGTAAGAAATAATAATATTAACATTGAACTATGAAAACATGTATAGTGCAAAAAATTTATTACCATAACATATTTTTTTGTTTTTTAGACTGACTATGACGCATCATTTAATTATATCTTAAAAATACACTGACCTATTTGGAAAAGCTATCTTGTTATGGTTTAGAAACATGGGTTCATTTTTCTTGTGGTTTATGCGGTTTCATTTCGTTAAATTTATATGACACTAACGATGTGGGTTTCTTTTTATAAAATTTCTTGTAAATAACTATTTTTATGTGTTGCAACTGTTTTGATTGATAATACTAGTCATAATACTAGTTTTAAAAGAATATCTATAATAACTTTTCTGAAATTATCAGAAGAAATAGAAACACACAGGGTATTCATGACATTATCGACCTTATTGAAGAAACCTATAATTAGTTAATTTTATTTATGTCTAATACATTTAAATTTGCATATGTCTAACACGTATTAGGGTAAAAGCCGCATTTGTCTCGAACGTATACATGCATCAGTTTCGAATGCATCATGTTGGGCTTGTTGATCATTTTAAGGCTTGATTATAATCGGAACTGCCCCCCACCCAAATGCCAGTACCATATAAATAGATGGAGTAGGCAAGTCAATTTTATCCTTGTGAAGTGGAATTTTCCACGTCAAGACTTTGTCAAACGTTAAAATTATCACTATTGAATATTTTTATAGCATGTGATTGAAGTTTTTATATAAAAAGTCTGCTACTAGAGAAGATCAAATAACAATTTTTTTAATATACACTTTTAATGCAACATTTATAAGTACATATTAATTATAGAGCTTTTTTGAAAAGTGTACAACTATCCGGCTTTCACCCTAAGCCATTAGCTGTGTGAGCTTAAAGCAGGTTCATAAATGGCTTCATTACTTACATATACCTAACAATAGACGTTGAGTCACGTATAAATATTGCTCTACTTTACCTGATAAGAGGGCAAAAATACTAACAACTCATTGTCTCATCATCATTCAATATCTTGATTTTCAACATGTTTTAGTAACTCAAAAGAGTTT